CAGAGCTGAGGGATGGCTAGGAAACATCTACCTGCTGTGCTGAGTGAACATACTGCACTACCGTGAGGCTGATCATGCAGCTGAAATGCCCCTGAAGAAACCCAGTGACAGAGGCCACATTGTTATCCAGCTGCCAGAGAAAATATTTCTGTCTGGTTGACAGTGCAGGTCAGGGTCCATGAGATTAGTGGTCTCCTTTGACGCCTATGGTTCAACACTGTATTGTACTTGGCATCCAAGCAAAGTTTTTCATCATTAGTCCCTGTGTTTGTTATGTTTCTTTTTTTTTTTTTTTTTTTCTTTTTTTTCCCCTTGATTCTTTCTCTGTCTGGATTTTTTCCTGACTGTGTGAATGGGTCTGTGACAGTATGCTTACTGATGGCTGTACTGCCACATTGTCTTCACATCTGCTTATTTATTAAACTTGCAAAGATAAAGTGAAATCAGAATTTAGCTGAGAAGTTTGAATTTAGTAATGAGGCCACCTTGTGGGATGCTGTTCTTCCTTGGCAAGGGGGCCTGGTTTACAGGCTAAAATTTCTACCCACAGAAAGCAGTCATGGTAAATGCTGCTCTTCATTGGCCCTGCTCTCTCAGGTGTAGTGTTGATCCTTCCCCATATGACTGATAAGAGGCACTTGGGGAACTGTCAGGGTTATTTCAATAGGGAGGGGAGTGCAAGGCACAAAGCTGGAGCTAATGAAAGCCCCCGTGTGAATTGCCTGGGGTATCTCTGAAGTCCTGTGGGCCGGGGTCTTTATTCTGTGGCTTTGGTTGCCATGGATTCTCTGCTCCTTTGACAATGTGATGTTTCTCTGAAGCCATCAGCATCTGGTGTGGCTAATATTTAGGTTGGAGGCCTAATCGTTATAGGGGAGAGAACAAAGACAAGCAACACAAAGCTTAAAGGCCAGCAAAACCACCCACTGAAACCCAACAAAAGGCAAAAGAAATACAAGTGTTTCTTTCCTGCTTGGCTGATCTCCCTACCTAGACCCTTTGGGCATATTCTCCTGTTTCAGCATAGCCCTGAGTGTTTATTCATAATCAGGAGGCCACTGTTACAGTACACTTGGCAGATAAATAGGGGAAACAGAGATTGGGTGGGATGGAGCGGGGAAAGGGGACTGGTATCACCTTGTGTCAAATTCTAAACTGTTTGGAAACAAATAGACTGCTCCTTTCCCAAAATCATGCACTGCTTTGTGCATGACCCTGAGGCTCCGGCAAGGCAAGTGTGTGCACACAAGAAGGGAGGCTGCTGGTCCCACATGTTTGTGTTTCACTAACCGATCCTCACTTTGTCTGAGTCACTGCACCGAGGTGACTGCCTGTAAAGGGAAAGTTTGTTTTGCCAAACAGAGAGCAGACAATTTGCAGTGGACAAACATGGCATAGCCACATGGAAGGGGCATCGCAGGGAGTGATGAAAGTAAAGTTCACGTGTGTTTGGATCTGGATTTGGATGTCTCTTTCCTGCCTTTCTACTTCACAGAGATTGCTAATGCTGAGTTGGAAATAGGCTGTAGAAGCAAACGGACATGAGGGTATGCTGTAGCTGCATGAACTGAAAAGCATCTGATGTCAAAAAGGTGCCTCTAAACATGTCCTCATATCTGCTTATCTCCTCAGATCACCCTCTTTCTTCAGATACTGTTTAGCCCTGCTGACCTTCGGGAATAGGGTCAGAGCAGAGCCAACTTCTCTGGAAAAGTGAGGTGGGATGGAGTCTGCATTACGTCTCGTCTGCAGATCTGTCCTAGCTGCAGAGTTTTATCTGCGGCAATTCACATGGCTCCACTGAGATATATTTCAGTGACTGCCAGGGATCATGTGAATTCTGGAAAAGAACCAAGATGGAGTAAATGCATGACCCCATCATGTCACCTTTGTCCAAGTCCTCAGCTGGGTGAATCAGTGCAAGCTCACTGGGACCAATGGAGTTCCCAGCACGCAGGAGGGGATGCTGTGTTCCTGTGCTGTCAGCATGCTGACTTTCAAGGACTTTGTGATTTCTAAGCACTACAGGGTCCTGACTGAAGCCTCCAATGAGTTGTACTGGAGTAGCCTAAAATGCTGCTGTCCTAATCTTCCAGTCTCTCCTTTCTGCTGGAGTTTGCTGCTTTGTAACAGGCGTACCATAAGGCAACATGTGCCCACATTTTAGCTCTCCAGTTCAGCGCACGGCGTATGACATTAGGAGAGTGCTTTTGCCTTAGTATGCCAGGTCCAGGGTAGGGCAGGTTTTCCGTTGTGCCACCTCTGCTGCAGGAACAGTTTATCCTAGCAGAGGCGTAGGGCAGGCAGTGATGAGGTGGTGATGTCTGCAAGCACCACAGCCAGAGATACTCAGTGAAGCCAGGAACCCCATGTGAAGATGAAATGCTGGCTCCTAGGGTGCTTTTCAAACTTGTATTCTTCATAAACTGGACACAGCTACAAAGGGTTGAAATCTCAGCACCCCCCCCCAACTTCCCTCTTCCTCCAGAGAGCAGACCAGGTGATAAGATGCTAAAACATCAACCGCTCACGCATACAGCGGTTGTGCCACGCCAAAGTGACGAGGCAGGGAGGCAGAACAGAGTCACACAACAAGGAGTGCTTCAGTTGAGGGCCAGACTGAGGGAGAATAAAGCTCCAAAGCATTTTTCCTTATGATATCTGTGCTTTTTTAAGCTCCTGAACACTTCGTTGCTACATCTTACTATGGTGTGTTTATCTATGTTGATTACAAGTGATAGGAGCTGAGTCTCACCATGAGAGCAAGCTCTGTTGCTGCCTATTCTTCCCTGAGAAAATCGGATTGAGAACGGGTGAGGATTCCTGTCCAGACAGGACTGAACAGCCCATCGCCAAGTCGACAGCAGTGAAATCTGAGTCATGCCGATTGCTCGCCTTGGAGACAGCAGCGGCACTGAAGGGGAGGGAGGGCTGCGTGAGAAACGCTAAAGACAACGAAACTCGCAAAACACCTGGTGAAGTTTCATGCGTGGGGTGAAACTGGTGTTAGTGCATCATCTCGACGTGCGAGGGAGAAGAGGAGCAAACTCAGCATCTCCGTTATACCAGTACATGATGGGAGCTGGCGGTGGCCAGAACCGTAAGATGGAAGCAGTTGCTCTCTGTACCAACCTGAGCTCAGGCGCCTGCTGCCACTTGAGCAGAGAAACCAGTGGGAACTGGGTGCCTCAGGCCATTAGCAGAGCTGTTACCAGCTTCTCTGCTGTGTGCAGCTCAGATGCAGAGGGACTCTGTGTGGAAGCAACATATTTTTTAATAAAAAGGTGACAAGGACAGCAGAGGCGGCCCTTGATGGCCCTTGTGCTGCTCTGGGAGAGACTGTACAATTATAGAGCTGCCACTCTGCTCAGCCAAGGAGAACACTGAGTTTGATCCAGGCACATCACCAGAACTATCCATGCATGGTTTATATGTGTATTCCGTGCTGGAGACGTGGCAGTGTGAGAGAACGGTGCATGTGCAGGAGTGAAGTCATCTCAGCTGAGCTGCCAGGGAGGATGGACCAGCATCTTACCGCATCCAAGGTCCATCTCCACACCCTTCCAGTTTCCAGCCCAGGAGCATCCGCTGAGCGCCTGGTTTTTCACCCTGTCAGCATGGGCAGCTCACACCAAATGGGCTGGCAGTGTCTGTCGTGGTTAGCAATAATTGGGAGTTGCAGAGATGCCAGATTCCTTTCAAGAGGAATTACTGTTCTCCAAATGATTCACTTAAAAGTCTAGACCAGGACTTACTATAAACATATGGAGAGTAGCTTAATGGAAACAACATATTCCTTATAAAATGCTATTAAAATGTAGCATTCACTACCTAAATTCCTGTAGATTTTCTTTGCCTTTCCATAAAAAAAAAAATCAGCAATTGAAAAAGTTCTGCTCTTGGCAACTTTGGAGATTTAAAGAAATCTTTCTTTTTATAATTTTTTTAAACTTCTTCCACTAATAAAAAACAGTCTGCCCTTCCAGGAAGTTTCCGTGTCGATGAAAAAGTAATTTTTGTCCACAAACCTTGTTTTTTATGATGAATAGTATGAACTGTTGTGGTGACACCATATGCACATGATTGAAGGACGTGACAGGAGTACGGCCACTGATTCATTCTTCTCTGAGCAGGGCGAACCTGCAGCATGGAGCATCCAGGGAATGCACGGAGGTGCTTCTGTGCTGGTTGCTAGTAGGATTTGCTGGAGGAAAATGAAAGATGACCAATGTTTGGGTAATTAAGTGTCTGACAGTTTGTTAATATAAGATGGAGAGACCTGGAGAAAGTGCCAGAAGAGAGGACAGGCAGGGCATTATTTTGGTATGTTGCTTCTCAGCTCACGTAGTCCCATGAGCCTCACCTTTGTCAGGAATTTTTTAGTGGAAGGGAGGGTGCTGTGATCTGCCTGTCTACTTCTCTCTAAGTAAAATCATATACAAATGATTGAAAAAAAACCCCTAAGTTAGATTGGAACTGAATTTAAAAACCACAAACTACAGCAAAGAAAAATGACTGGGTTTGGTTTTGTCTGGGTAGGTCAAGTTCTCTGAACAGCGAGTGATCACTTACATTTGTGGGCTGCCCTGGCCTTTAGCTCCAAATTCAAGGAAAAATTTTGCAAAGTCTCCTAGTCATGTTGCATTCAAGTTACCGACCAACATCCCACCTTGGCGGTGTGTGATCTGGCCAGTAGCGTGTGCTGGCTGAGGAAGGAGCAGTTGCAGACAATGTCATGGTGTTTTGCATCCCTGGGGCAGGAGCAGGGAAGCAAAGGTATGTCTGCCTCTCTGCATGGCCCCACCAGAGAGACTCTGGCCTAATTTTGTACATAGCTACAGGCAGAAGAACTGGTAATCCCAAAGACTCTGGGAGTTAAGGACCAGGAAAGCATTCTTTCTCCATTCCAGCAGTGCCTTTGGGAAGCCCTTCATGTGTTCAGCTGTATTGCGTGGAAAATTATTACCCTTCATTCAGTTTCCTCCGTCTGGCCCAGTTTTAGATCTGTGCGTCTGATGAAGAATGACACCATGAACTTCCAGAAATTCCCCTACACCAATGAAGATGAAGCCTGGAAAACCTACCTAGAGAACCCCTTGACTGCAGCCACCAAAGCTATGATGAGAGTGAACGGAGATGATGACAGCGTGGCTGCCCTGAGCCTGCTCTATGACTACTACATGGTACGTTCTCACTGGGGCTGAGTGTCTTGGGGGAGTTTGTCACAGAAGAGAAGCATGAAGGTAAAATATGTGCTCGGCCACCCTACAAGGGTACCCATCTCCTGAGCTCTTCACATTGTTTATGCAATGAACCTCATAACACCCCCAGGCATAGAGTGCCACTATTATCCCCAGTGCACAGATGGTAAACTGAGGCACAAAACACCATTATACTGTAGAGGGAACCCAGAAACCCGGAACAGGGTGGAGAACTGAACCTGGGTGTCTTGAGTCTTAGCCTGGTATTTTTTTTTTTTTACCTGACAGCTTTCATATGAGGAACAGGAATGCTCTGAGAGACATGGAGCTGGAATAGCTAGGTGCCTTGCCGACCCTAGCATCTTTATTTTTCCAGTGTTGCTGGGGCTTCAAGAAATGTGGATATGATTTAGCCCTAATTGAAACCAATAAGGCTGATGTTCCCATTCACTTGGGTGCTTTTAAAGTCCTTCCAGAACAAAATGATGTGGCTTGCCTAAGGTTACCTTGGGAATCTGTGGCAGAACTAGCAAAAGAGCCCAGGTCCCCTGTGTCCTCACCCAGTGTTTATTATTCACCCAGTGTTTTTTCTGTGGGACTTCACTCGCTACACAGACAAGGCTAATTTTGCCTCTGTTTTCCATTAATCTAACAATAAACAAACTCTTTGTTCTGCCTTGTTCTAGGTCCCAAAGGAGAAGAGGATTCTTCCATCTGGTATGATGGGACGCAATGAACTAGGAAAGAGGTTAGCTTCATTTTTTGCTCTGTATAGATGTCTAATTCTCCTGCAGCTGCTTGCATGCATGATGGGTCTCTTAGCTTGCATAAAATAGACATCAAAGCACAGTGTTGTTGGTAATAACAGTGGAGGTTATTAACCCTGAGACATATATTAAAATTCTTTAGGCCAGATCCTAAAGCAGGTATAAATTGAGCTACACCCATTTACACAACTGAGGATCTGTCTAGCTGTGTTCAGAGGATTTGCACTGATTTGCAGCAACTGAAGAATTTGTCTTTATTTCCTACTTTGTGACAACTGGAAATGGGAAAGGGATTAAGCATTGGCAGCAAGAAGGGAATGATCAAGTCCTCTTCTGTTCATTAGGCTGATAAGGATTTCTGTTCCACTTGCTTCCAGTCTCCCAGGATTCTCTTCCAGTGACTCCCATTTGTCCTCTGAGGTTTTTAGATAATTAACTATTAAATTAATGGCTCATTTGCCACTATGAGTTCAGTTCCCCTTCCTGGATGCTGTGTACTTTGGCAACCTTTTCTGGTTGTCTGGGTTTAACTACTCGACAGAATAAGCCTCTTGAATGATACTTCATTCCTTCTTTGTAAGTAAGCTGAGTTAAGCTGTTTTCTCTTCTCTGAAAGGCCACTGCATTCTGGACAGTGATATTTTTTTATCAACTACAGAAATTTCAGCACATACCTGAAGGTGAAGCTCTTAAAGCAGAGTGGGTGGGAGCTACTCGTGCAGCTTTACTTCCCTTGGGTGTAGCTCATGCTGCCAAGAGGTGTACGGGTTGGTAGTGTGGGGCTTGGTTTGTTTGCTGAGCATGGTAACAGGGACAATAAGCCACCTTTTCCCAGCTCAGCTAGGGCTGCGGAGTCAGCAGGGTCACACAGTCACCACTGCAGAAGGGACCAGTTCTTGGGATGCTGCACAAAGGGATGGTTTCCGTGTGCAAGAGGAGTGCGGTTTTGTACATGGCCTTATCACTTGATGGCTCCTATACTTTTCTGCTCAGAAGTGCTCTGAAATCTGGGCCATACACCTCACTTCCAACATTGCAGCCATGTCAATTTTTCACTGATCTCATGTTCTCTGCTTTCTAAGCTCCTGGAGTTTGTAAATTTGTACAAGAATCAGCTTTCCTTTAAAAAACAAAACAAAACAAAACAAAACCAAAAAACCACAAAAACATTTTAAAAAAATCAACTTTCAGTGTCAATGATCCTTAAAAAGACTAAGATGGAAAGACCACATCATCGTTATCTTTCTTATCGTCCCTGCTGTTCTGAGTGTTTAATAGCCTAAATAAAGAAATAATGGATGTAGGCCCTGGATCTGCAGCCCCAAAACCATATCTAAACTGTATTCTCTGATTCTGTGTGATAATCCTGTATCTGCTGAGCACCTCTGGCTCTTGCTAATGGCAGAGAGATGTGTGTGGAGATCACCCACGGGCCTGTCAGATCTCCCATATCAAGCAGGAGATGTACACGGCTGACTCAAGGTCACCTGGCAGCTAGACTGTGCAGTTTGCTTCCAGCAGCACATCAAGGCACTTGCTTCTTGCTGTGACAACTTGCTGGGGTTGTCCTCCCTCTGTTCTGGTTTGAGACAGGACGCTTTCTCCATCAGGCACTGCCACGGCATGGAGTACGACCCAGAGATCGCATCCTTTGATGGCTCAGCCCATCTCATGAAGCTCTTGTCTGAAAATGTTTCCATGACCCAAGAATATTGTGAGCCACAGAAGAAGAATGGCTTAAGTCTTGAAGGCGTCCCTACTTCTCACAAGCCAGCCATGCTTCCACCAGGCACTAGCAAGCTGGATGCCACCCCAGAGAACTACATGGTCCCTCCAGGGGATGTGTACGACAACAGCTCATTGAACTCCCTCTTCGAGACCATCCCCGTAGCCCCACCACAGCAGCGGTGGCAGCCAGACAGCACTTTCAAAGAGGATCCCCAGGAGGTCAGAGCCGGTGGTGGGTTGCTTGCTGGCAGTGCAGCCCAGAGGGTGATGCGTGAGGCTGTCCCTGGTTTGGGGTTTGCTCATGCTGGAGTCAGTGGGAGCTTTGCTTTTGCATTAGAAGCTTGATGCCATTCCCATTGAATTGTTGGGGGTTTTACATTAGTTTTAGAAGTTGGATAAGGCTTTGAAATGAGGGTCCGTGTTTTGTCTGTGGTCTCTGTTTCCATGTCTGGGAGAAGATGTATGGACAAAGCAATGAAAGATTCTACTTTTGACTGTTTTTTTCCCACTTGTCTACAGTCGCTGCTCTTCAGTGATATCCTTAAACCCCAGCCAGAGCCACCTTGCCCTGAGAGTTATGCTACGGACGGTGTTAAGAGGTAACTGCCAATCCATGGTCTCTGGGGTCCAGTGCCTTTGGCTGTGTCCCTTTCATGGGGAAGGACTGCATCCCTTTCCTCCTCCCAGTGCCAGTCTTCATAATGACCATTGCAAACTCATCAATCGCATGCTTTTGCAGAGTGAAGTTGTGTCCCCCTGGTGTCTTAGGAGCATGTTGCTGTTCCATGACTTTTGAGATGCAAAGCAGGGATGAATTTTAGTGTTTGTAGTAGGAAGCAGGGATTAAGATTTGAAATGATTTTCTGAAAAGGAGTCAACCCCAATCTTAAATTCGAGTTGCTAAATGGAGTTGTGCCAGTTCATTTTTTTACCTCGAGAGGTGTGTGGTTCAGACTGTATTCTATTGACCAAAGTGGTATAAATCCAGTGGCGGCTGCTTCCGCTGCTCTGGTCACATCTCATCAGCACCTTGACCTGCACAAGGGGAGATGTGGCACTGAGGTCTTTTATGTGAGGGTTTGCTGTGCATAACACCCCTTCTCAGGGAGCGCTTCTTGGTCAGATAGATCTGGGTGGCTGCACCATCTTTCCACAAACTACTTGGAATGGGGTAAATGACAGAGAAAATGAGGATGACAGTTGATGAGGGTGATAAGCAGCCTTCTCCTAAGGTTTAGGTTCTTGCTTTGGGTTTAGCACTGTTAGTCAGCCTTGATTTTTAGAAGGTATCACTGCCTCTCATTCCTAAAACATGAGAGGGATTTCTTCCTCCTTTCCACCCTTCTCTCAGGCAGAGCTTCCCTGCTCTAGATACTGCATCAAACCTCTGAGTAGGTAACATTATTCCACCTCCCACTTTTTATTTGTCTCCTGAGTCACCTGACTCTGTGACTCAGCTGTCAGACGTGGGGATTTTCACACAGGCAGCAGCTCATGTTCGTCAGCAAGCTGTTTGCTGTTTATTTGTGCACTAAAGTTCTCTGGCTCTCCTGGCTCTAGATAAGAGGAGTTGCCAAGCCTATCTACAGAGATGGCATCACAGGGGAGGTGGAGCAGGAAAAAGAGATGGGTTGGTGACTAAATAGGAATGTGATGATCTTCAGGGCACTCGAAGGATCTGTGTGAAGGCTTGTGGCTTGCACAGATTCCTCACAGAAGAAAGTAGCTTGAGCTATAGCCTCATGGTTTGAACACTGATAGGTGCTGGTGAATGCCCAAGAGCAGGGCTTCTTGAAAATCAAGCTCTTCTTTTAAATTTGCTTGTCAACAATGCCACCTTCCTCTGTGTAACACTACAAATATTTTCTGTAAAGACTAAAGTTGCTGCCCACCAGACTTCTAAGTCCATTTTTAAGCACCTGGATATGCAAGCAGATGTCAGCATCCTGCAGGTCCTCCTGTTTCTACAGGACCCATTAGGACACAGTTTTCCTGGGTCAGCCATTTATGGGTGTGAATTGGGAGACAGGAATCTGAGATTAGGATGTTTTAAAAGTCTCATCACAGGTACCTATTTTTGTTTGGTTTGGTTTAGGCTTTTGATTGTGCAATGGTTTTGTAGCCATCCACAGAAAAATACTGGTTACAATAATGTGCAGGGTTTTTAAAGCCAAAACCAAAGGGTAAAATGAGGATATGTGAGAACTGCTGCTCCCCAGGGTGCTGGGGACGATCGGTATGTGCTGTGCTGGGAGGTGCTCAATCACTACTGTAGGGGTGTGAGATGGGGAATAGGGCAGAGACTCCTGTGTGTACAGTGTCTGGAACCTGTAAGGATGAAGGCTTGCATGTCTCCTTGTTTTGCTTTTGGAGTGAAACAGCAGCATGAGCTTATTCGTCATTCTCTCTTTGTTCCATACAAGTGACTTTGAATACACTCTGGGGTCACCCAAAGCCATTCACATCAAATCTGGGGACTCTCCCATGGCCTACCTCAACAAAGGACAGTTCTACCCCATCACGCTGCGGACAGCTGGAGACAGCAAATGTTTACACTTGTCCTCAAATAAAGTGAAGGTAAGAGACAAGCTGACAATTTTGCTGACACATGCTGTAATCAGACATCCAGCAATTGTACTGGCCTGGGAACAGAACTGAACATGAAGAGTAATGGCTTTGTGGCTCATGTTGGCTTAAAGTGATGAATGGGATGGATTCACTCATAGCAAGCTAATCCTCTGATGCACAGCAATAGCCTTCATGTTACCTGGCAGTTGAAACCTTTCACAGTAAGGTCAGGGATGCACAAAAGACCTCGCTAGCTGGAGACTGGCTGGGGGCTCTAGTGGGAAGACTTCTGAGGTGGAGAGAGGCTCCACATCTTGCTCTTGGGATGTGTAGCCAGGCCTCATAGCCACCCCTGAGACTAAGCTGAGCTTCAGTTCCCAGCAAAGAAACCCGGTCCTCCAATCCTGAGCAGTATTTAGGGGCTAGACTTTGGACATCTCAAGACTTACAGGATTCCTGAAACTAAGAATTTCCAGAAAAAAGACCATTTAGGCTGTCCCAGCCTAATACTTGCTGCAGCACTGCTAATGTTCCCCCAGCACAGCGTCCTTGTATGCCTTGGAGTCAGAGGAAACTCATGAGCATTGCAATTAAGGGGCATCTTGGTTTTGGTCCTGGCTCTGTCACTACCTGCCTGCATGACCGTGTTCAAGTGCCCTGCCTTGTCTGCCTCAGTTTCCCCAGCAATAAAACATTAACAATGACACTAAGCTGCCCTTGGCCATTGCGTGGATGCACTGGATGGACAGGGCAGTGAGGGCACCAAGCATTAGCCTGCTGTGTATACTGATATGGGATATCCTTGCTGTGTTTCAGAGTGTTGTGATGATCGTTTTTGACAACGAAAAGATCCCAACGGAGCAGCTCAAGTTCTGGAAGCACTGGCATTCCCGCCAGCCAACGGCCAAGCAGAGAGTCATTGACGTTGGTATGAGCAGGGCTGTCTGATTGTGCTGGCTGGCTGGAGTTGATAACTTCTGGCACCATTTTACTGCCTTTCCAATACACAGTAATGCAGTTGAAGCTCCAGGATCTGGCTCAGGGGAAATTGGGGAGGAGCAGGCTGATCTGCTAGCCTCAGATCCTTTCAGGCTGAGGAGCTCTTGGGGGGGTCTAAGACAGTGATTGCCAAATGCAAGGACATGCGTTAGGAGCCCAAGGTACATCAAAGAAGAGCCTCAGTCAGAGAGACAGAAACTGCTAAACTATTTTGGCTCTTACAGATGTGACCTATAGCCTCTTGGAGTCTAGGAATCTGAGCTAGAAATGGCTTTGGTACTGCTGGTCCTTTTCCACTGCCACCACACTGTGTGTCATGCTGGGCCAGACAGAGGTTTTGTCCATGCAGCTGAGCACCTTGTGGTTCAGAGCGAGAAACATGGGTGAATTTAGAAGCAATATCTACATCATTGACTTTGCATAACATCACTACTCAAAGGGCAGTTGCCAGCCAATATCCTCGAGTCATTTCTGGTCTCTCCCTTACGTATGTACACTAAGGTATAAACTTAGTGTTAGAGTATAAACTGCTTCTCCATTGCATTTCAGCTGACTGTAAAGAAAACTTCAACACAGTGCAGAACATTGAGGAGTTGGCCTACAATGCACTGTCTTTTGTGTGGAACATCCATGAAGAAGCAAAGGTATACACTGCTTGTGGAAGGGCTATGGGAAGCCTCGGTCCACAGCCAAACTGTAGCGTCCTTTCTGATGGCCCAGGCACGTCCTTCCCACTTCTCAGCTGAATGACAGGGAGAGTTTCAAATACAAACAATCCCATTCCAGTGGCCCCAGGTAGTGTTTGTCTGCCAGGACAGTGAGGAAGGACACCATGCTGCTCTGTGTGTTTAAGCATTGCCATTGGCTAGAAAACACTATGAGTACACCTGAGACTGGCTAAGAGATGGTTTTTTTAGTGCTGATGGATAACTCTGAAGAAAGCCTTTTGCAGCAGGCAGCCTAGATCAGGACTCTACTCACATGTAAGTGAAGCCTATTTAAATAAACCACAGCTTAGGGAACAAAGACCCTCCTTTCAAGGCAGCATGTTGATGCAGAAATGACTGACCACCCTTCTGTGGCTTGTGTGATGTGGAAGGGAGCCAGGCAGGTCACAAGGTCCCTTTTGACCTTAAAATCTGTAAAGCTTTTATCAACATCTTTCTAGCTCTGCTCTCTCTTCTGCATCTTCAGTCTCTGGTTAACACTTTGTATCTAGTGTGGATTGAGAGAAGCATGTAAAAAAAAGATGAAGTAACTAAGAAAAAAAAAAAACATAAATACCCCATCTCTCTGAAGAGCTTGGGAAAACTCTGGTTTGCTTTGGGATCTCAATAAACCTTTCTTTTAGCCCAAAGGCGACCTTGGTCTTTTACAAACCAAGAGGTTAACAAATGTCTTCAAGGTGAAGTTGTCAGAAATGGAAATATGTCAGGTATGTGGCAAGCCCTCAGGGACACCTCAGCAAAACTGGATTTAACTCTTAGCAGAAGGTCTGTACATGCACTGGCCTGGGGCAGGTAAAGGTGAGACTTCAGAGAGCTGCGAGGACTGGGAGCTGGACAAGAGGGGTCAGGTATTTGCATCATCTGTAGCACCTGTACTTCTCTTCGTGCAATTAAACTTCATGCCACAGTTAAGTGGTTTTCTATATATAGGTACTGACTAGATCTGACATTAGGTTTCAGGACTGAAATCCTCAGACAAAGCCCTGCTGGAGAGAGCTGTGGGAGCTTCTCCAGCTGCAAATCTGTCCCTAGAGTCCAGGGGAAATTTCGAGGTCACACAAATGAGTTTGTAATTTGGAGATACAATGTGGATTAGGTTTGTGCTCAGCTTTTCTGCAAAAGTTTCCACTGAAGGTAACTCCATCCCAGTGATAAAGGAGAGCAATGTGTGATGAATATTTACTTAACTAGCAGCAATGATTTGTAATTCCTGAAGCTGTAGTCTAGCCCTCCTCCCTTCCTGCAGGGCATTGCTGTCTGAGGGTCCCTTGTTCAAATGAGAGATCAGAAATATCAGCAAGAACATCCCCAGGCAGCCTTTGCCTCTGGTCTGACGCTTGCCTGAGCTGGTGGGAGTGGATAGCCTAAGTGTTAATGAAGAGATGGAGAGCTGCAGTAGGTGTGGAAGGACTTGTGGTTGTGATCAGGTGGGAAACCAACAATTCACATCCCTGGCTGATGCTGGGAGGGTTGGAAGGATGTCTCAGTAGCTGCTTTTGTTCCTACCCACTGCTCTCATTGCTGTTTGAGAATAAAGTTTTCAGCACCAACAAATTGTACCAATCTCTGTTCCTATTTTCAGGTATTTATTGGGGTGAATTGCCTGAGCACAGACTTCTCCTCCCAGAAAGGAGTGAAAGGTGTCCCGCTCAACCTCCAGATAGACACTTACGACTACGGCAACGGAACCAGCCAGCTGGTGCACCGCGCCGTCTGCCAGATCAAAATATTCTGCGATAAGGTAGAATATTGCTTTTCCACCAGGTTGTCCAAGAGGAATTTTAAACTGGTGGCCAGTGACTCCAGGAGAAAAAACCAGAAAGGTTGTGAGAGCCTAGACAAGCCTAGAGGTCAGGGCTGAGGAATAGAGATGGTTAGTCCCCTCAGCTGAGACGGGACAGCAGAGATGTGTCTGCACTGCTAAGGCCTTAGTAGAATCGGGTCATTAGAAAGTTTTCACCATATCAGACCTAAATGGGATTGTGTGTCATAATAAACTCTATTTTTGACAAGTTTTTAAATAGCAGAAGAGATGAGAATCTCTTTAGAGGTTCTTCCCCAGCGTCAGATATCTTCCCATGGAAAAATTTCTCACAGCTGTTTTTGTCAGCATTTTTCATTTTTAAAAGCAAATTTTATTTTTGTTTTTTAATTTATAAGTATCAGAAAGTTCTGGATGGCCTGTAGAAGGTCTCTGAGATGAGCATTTTTGAAAAAGATTGCCTTTACCTCAATGTGCTTACGTCCCAGAGATGGCCAGTAAACCCTCTTTTGCCAATGTTAGAACTGTGAATGCCCTAACTTTTGCCTTATCTTCCCCACAGGGAGCAGAGAGGAAAATGCGGGATGATGAAAGGAAACAGTTCAGAAGGAAAGGAAAATGCCTGGACTCCAATAACAATGGTCAGTGCTAGTGTTTGTTACCCGATCCGAAGTGTGTTGAAATCCATGTAGGCTTGTCCGTTAACTTCCATAAGATCTGGCCCTGGGTATTTCCAAGCCTGATGAAGTCAGCACCATTCAGAAATGACTCGTCAGTCAGGTCCTTGCCTGGTCTTCTACCAAGACTCTTGAAGCCCTTTATTAATACTAACCAGCCTTCCTGAATTGTCTTGGGGTCTTGGCAGGGAGCTGTCTCTAGGGGAGGGAGCACTGGGCAAGCCATGTAGGTCCGGTTCTGCAGGGTCCCGTCTTTTTTCTAATATTTCTGTTGGGACACCTTGGGCAGGCACTTTCCCCTCTCTGCATGTAGTTGCCTCTTAAACTGCCATCTGAACTGAGATGAAATAGACTTTCCATTTGTAGGTCTGAAAGGCTGTTTGCTCTCTGGCTTCAGAGGGAATGAAATCACGTTCCTGAGGCCAGAGACTGACCTCGAAACCCAGCCAGTCCTGTTTATCCCCAACGTCCATTTTTCAAACCTGCAGAGGTGTGGCACGGTAAGTCCCTTCAAAAAACAACGAACCTTTTGCCCTCATCTGTCACCCCCATCATTTCCAAACTGATCAGCCCCCCCGATGTGACATGTGTTATGTAAAAAGCAAAACCAAACCACAGTTCTGTGGAAATGTGGTGAACTTGAAGACGTAGCTGTCAGGAGTGGCCTAGATAGTCATGCAACAGTGATGGGCAAGATAACCTTTCCAGGTTCCTCCCAGCCAGATATTCCTATGGTTCACAGGTATCATCTGCAGCTTCCACAGAGCACTGGAGTGGTAGCAAAAATATCAGCCGAAAGTAAGCTATAGAAAAATGTGACCATATCAGTCCCTGCATATGTGGGATATCTCTCACTTGTCCTCTGCCCTGCTCTATCCCCTTGAGCTTGAGGAAACCTAAACCTAACATCCTTCAGAACTCATCAGTGTTCCCTCAAGAAACAACTGTCTCAGTTTGTCAAAAAGGGGGAGAAGCCGTCTGTGACAATTCTGTAGCATTCTACTGTGGTAGCTGCTGTACCGATGCATCAGCGTCAAAAACAGGGACTGGAAGAATCTGTTTTACAACCAAAGAACCCACTGAGAAACTCGGTCCTTGATCCCAAGCAGGTTATGAGATTTGATCTGCTTTTGGGTCTAGCTAGTGGTGTGTTCAGGTCTCTTCTAGACGGAGGAGGAGAATCTAGATAGGTTCTTTATAGCAGGTTTCATTTAATCTAAGAAATACATACAGATGTTTGGGTTTAATTGCGTAGGAAAAATGATGGACTCGGAGGAGGGAAATCATGTTTAAAATGTGCCCATATTCCCTTGCCCCAGCTTCATTGGCACACAGTGATACTGGGCAAACTAAAAGATCGATGTTTCCTTTCCATTTCAAGGTGCTCCCTCCTGCTGTTCCCAACTCTGCAAACAGGTAAGGATGCAGCAGTTTGTATTTCCCATCCATCAGCTGCTCTGTTTCTTTGGGTATCTTATGGCTGTTTGATATCCATAGGCAGCATATACCTACAGGTGCAAAGTAACACAGCACAGTGTCTCCCTGAAGCCCTTGAGTGTCAAAATACGTGTTAAACTTTGGTGTAGAATGGACTTGATGCAGAAACGCAGGTACTTTTCTTTCTCTACCAGTGAGCCGCTCCAACATGAGTCTGGTCCCTGACTGTCCTGCTGTTCTTATTGAGACAATGTTGGAAAGAGGGAACGAAAAGATCACAGAACTGTCACTGAAGGGTTCAAGTAACCAGAGGCAGATACTGCTGTAAAATAAACTGGAATGAAGTAGAAATCACACTTGTAATGTGTCTAGAGTGTGGAGAACCAGCATTTACCCTGGGCTTGATCCACTGTCTAGTGATATCAGTAGAGAAACAATGACATGAAGGTGCAAAAGGCTTTTGTTTATGATGTGATACCAAAACCACTCCCTGCACTCACTGATTTCCCTGTGTGCGTTAGGCAGGAAGTTGCAACTCTGGCAGACACTCTGCTGCCATACTTACAGAACTGATATTTAATTGCTGGATGTTTGTTGAAGTAATTGATTGTTCAATCAAAAGTTCGATAGCTGGAATTGTTTTGTTTGCTGCTATTGTTCTGTCCTCTTGAGACTATTGTATTCCTGTCCTTAGGCTGCCCTTAAAACGGAGTGGTGCCTCATTCACAGATGAGTTTGACCCGATACCTCCAAAGCAAACCAAGGAAGAAGATCCTCTGAGAGGTAACCCCTGGGATGGGGACTCTTCTTGAATGTAGTGTCTCATTTGATTCAAGTAACCTTGAATCTTGAATTACATGAGGCCACATCACTCTGAGAGCATGACGTAAGGAGCCCTGATTCAGCGCTGTGCTTTATCTCTTTCAGTCTTGTTGTATGTGCGGAGGGAGTCAGAGGAAGTGTTTGATGCTCTCATGTTGAAGACACCAGATCTCCAGGGCCTCAGGACAGCTGTAAGTCTTATCAAAAAACTGTGGCACATGAACAAACTGCAGACAAAAGGGCAACGGTACTTGTTATATAGGAAGCTGAATATAAGACTGCTTAGATCTCATGTCGTCTTTCTCTTGAGAATGGAAATGGAAATTGTGAGGAGCAGGTGCATTCTAACCACAGCTCTTGGCATGGGCTGTGTGTTGTTAGTGCTGCAGGGGGGAAGAACACTCCTCATGGCAAGATGTTTTGTTCAGATCATAATATAAGTCTTCTCTTGTGACAATACATTCATATTTTCAATTGTAGAACACCCTTTCCATTCTCAAGGCTGTAGATGTGCAATCTGAAGCCAATTCTGGCCTCATGCTGGAATTCCCTGTGTTGTGTTTGAGGCGGGCACAGACATATTTCTGTGATGATTATCAGCAGCACCTCTGATAACCCACCTCTCTTTGGAGATTGCTGGGAAGGAAACAAACAATAAACCTTCCAGGTTTGGGGTCGCTTTATGGCTGTATTTTAAGCTCTGTTGGTTTTACAAACTTTTAAAAATAGAGAGTTTGAAAAATGTCAGCACAGAGGATTCTTTGCCATCTTCTCTCTCCCCCGTCCCTCACCACAAAGAGTAAAAAACCTCTACAGAAAATGCTTGTGAAAAAGTTACAAAACTCCTGTCATCCTAAGACCGTAACTATACTTGCCTAGGGCAGGTCTGCTGGAAGGCTTTGCAGATCAGGTAAAACCTAAGCAAAAACTGCAGCTGGATGCACCCATAGCAGACACAAACCCTTTCTGTAGTTTCTCTCACCTTTTGGTGCATCAGCAAAGGCAAAGCTCAGCACTCTCTGTGCCCAACAGGTCGAAGCGTCAAGCCCCCAACAGGCCAGGGAACGAGAGAAAGAAAATGAAGATTATTCTCCAAGGTTCCTGGCCTGGTGGTAGCCGTGAGAAAGAAAAATGTGTTGGGTTTGCGTGGCAAGGTTTTGGTAGCGGGGGGGCGGGCTACAGGGGGGGGTTCTGGGGGGAGCTTCCCCTGTGTCTGATAGAGCCAATGCCAGCCGGCTCCAAGACGGACCCGCCGCTGGCCAAGGCCACGCCAATCAGCGCCTCTGTGATAACATATTTACGAAGGAAAAAAACAGTTAGAGAGCTTTTGCAGCCGGAGAGAGGAGTGAGAAGATGTAAGAAACTCTGCAGACACCAAGGTCAGTGCAGAAGGAGGGGGAGGAGGTGCTCCAGGCGCCGGAGCAGAGATCCCCCTGCAGCCTGTGGTGAAGACCTGCTGCCCATCTGCCCACTGCAAGACACAGACACGTTCACATTGTCCTGTTCAGATCCTTGCTTTGGCCTTTTTTCTTGAGTAAAAGGGAGGGGGAATCCTTCACTGCTGAATCCCCCTGGCTCAGTGTTATCTTTGATGTTTATCATTGGAATTCCATTTTACAAGTACAAAGAATTGCCATGTTTTCTCTCACAGATTTCAGAAAAATATGGGCTTCCTGAAGAAAGCATTTATAAAGTCTACAAAAAATGCAAAAGAGGGTAAGCTAATCTCTCATCTGCTTTTATGCTGTACCTCTAAAACCCCATTCTCTTTGGTACCCTGCCATAGGCTGAAATAGCTTTTTAACAAGATAATAAAAAGCACAGCCATGTGAGTCTGCTATTTGGAGCATATAAAACTTGGATCTTTCTGGGCTTTAAAGATCTGGGATAATGCTTGTTTGTATTATATTTGTTTGGAGTGCAAAGTCTCCCAAGGAAAGGAAGTTGGATGAAGGAGGAATTGTTTGGGTAGTTTAATGGGTGTTCCTTTGTGTCCAGTCTAAAAGCCTGAGGTTATAGACAACTTATCTTACCGCCATCAGAGAGGGAGAAATGTTTGCATCTCCAAACCAAGTGCCTAAATGTTCCTGGCTCAGAAAGAGACAGTACTGGCTGAATAAGAGCATGGGCTACTGGAGTGGAAAAGAAGGGAGATCTGAAAGGGCTGGTCTGGTCCCAGCCTTGCCATCCCATCCCCAGACCAGGGAGGTCAACAGGAACCTTCACACTCATTTGGGAGGTCCGTCACCACCCCGAAGGGTCAGACCCTTTGGGGCACCCCCGGTATGGAAATGCAGGTCTCACTTGAGACAGTTGGGTGCTGCTGGGAGACAAGTGTAGCTCTACAGGGGGTGACAGCTCAGGTTGGCAGGAAATGTGAAATGGCTTCTCAAGTGATTTCAACATTGTATTTATTAGTGACTGATCTGTGTGGATCTCCCCCATGGCTAAGAAGGAATGGGCTGAGGACCAGCCGCTGAGTCTTCTGTGGAGGGCGGTGGTTTTGATGTGGAGCCAAGTGCCACTTTCAGAAATGTTTTTTGGACTGAAGAACTTGCTCTGAGTCGTCTCCATCTCTTGCAGTGAGTTCTCCCCTCAGCTGATGGAAGGGGAACGACTCATAAACTCCCAAGCTTATTTTCATAAAGCTAAATCCAGAGCCCTTCTTGCAGAGTGAGCAAGCAAGATATAATCAGGCTTTGCAAGCAACAGTGACTGCCTGGGAGATGAACTCATTGTTGTTGCTGGCCCTGGTCCAGAGTTTGAGCATGGGGAGAGACAGGCAGAAAGGCAAGGCTGATACCAGGCCCATGTTACGCAGCCCCGCTGTTCTCACTAGCACAGGCCCCCAGAGAGGTCGTCTGCATAACAGAACATGGGAACAGAGGCCTTGGAGCTGAGGGTTAGTCCAAAGCTCTGCTGCTGCATTTGCTTTCTGGTAACAGTGAGATGAGAAAGTCCTAAAGCTCCTCAGATAGGATCTTCCAACTCATTTGGTGTCACCATAACATGATCCCCATGGGACTTCACCTGTTTGCTTCAAGGGGAACAGAGTAAGGTGAGGCTTGGAGGGGGAGAGGCAGTGGGCTCTCCTCCATGCTGTGGTGTGGGGTCACTGAACTGGGAAGCTGTTACAACCCCCTCACCTCTAAATCCACAGCTGTCCAACCTTTCCCCATTTAGGAGGGATTTTAGATATGGTCCTAATTTTAAGGTGATGGATGGGCCATAGGGAGGTATCCGAAGTTGTCAGAGGGCACTTTCACCTGTTCCTGAACTCAGGGCCCTCAGTGCTATTGGGTGCTGCTCATCCACTAGCCCCAGAAATGCAAATTTTCTCCCCAAAGAAAATGAGCAACACAGGCACAAGAGAGGGGTTGTCCTGTACCCCTTCAGTCAGAGAGTGCCTGAAGTGTCAGAACAGTGTCAGAACAACTGCCAAGGATGGGGGGGGGGTGTGTCAGTTTTTTATTACAGCTTTAGGACTGAGCCAAAACTCGGGTGTGTCAGCTGTGGTGGTGGCTTGTGCTGTGGCCATCACAGGTCATCAGACCATCACGATGGCAGCTCCTCTGAACCAGCTGACTGTGAGCATCTGCCACAAGGGAGATCCAAGCACTGATGAGTTTGCAGGTGGACCAGGAAATGGCACTGCGTCAGGGGAGAGGCCACCTATGCTTTGTTTTGCTTTGGCTTTGTTCATTACGTGATCTGATAAGAGTAAATGTTGTTTAATAATGATTGGGAGGGAAAATAGGCAGACGTCCTTTCCATCTCTTCCCCAAAATGGACGACCAGAGAGGTATCTAATGAAAAGGCAACGCCTGGAAATTAAACAAAAAATAAACTTGACACCTAGTTTAACGAAAGCTGGACATTCCTGATGCCATAGGTTATTGCTGAAGTGGGGTGGACATACAAGATTTTCTCCAGTCTATCAGATGGCAGGGTCAGACACTGTTTCCTGCTCCCCCAGATTTAATTTTCCTTTGAACAATTTTATCCTGTTGCTCCACCCTAAACAATCCTCTCTTGGTAATTACAGCTTGAGGGTCATATCTCCATCTAGTGTAAAGTAGTGAAGCTCAGTGGTACTACCTGGATTTACAGCAGGTGAGGACCTATTGTCAGCCATGGGCCGCCTCAGTGTGATGAGCTCACGCACATGAACTTAGTCTCAGGGTGACTCAAGAGCAATAATAACTAATTTCATATCTTGGTGAGGTTTGGTCTGGAAAAACAATACAGGGCTCAGATTCCTAATCAACACTCCCTTGAATCTTTTGTGGTTGAGAAATCAGATGGAAGCAGGGTAGCAAGAGGTGACTTCTCTGGCTTCCTGCGCTGTGATAGTCAGAGATAACTGGGGCAGGTCTGCTGCAAGGCTTTTTGTGAGAATCCACCCTTGGGTGTCCACGCCGCCTCTCTGGGGAGGGCTGGACTCCCTGGACTTGGGGCTCTGGGCCCCAAGAGCCAAGAGCCAGAGTGGCAGCCCCAGCGCCACTCCTGTCTGGTGCCAGGAGGTGAGATGCAGCCGTGATGGTTACGATCTGACCCTGGATGGTGTTGGACCCCGTGTCTCAGCCCCTGCCACATTGAGTGGGATGCCCTTCCCCAGCTGTGCTGTGACAGAATTAATAGCCTGTTGGTGAAGCGTTTTGTGTCTGCTGAAGGGGAGCGTGGTGTTGAGCCCGGGGACAAAGCTCACACCAGAACAGATTGGACATGGGGACAGAGCTCCCACCCTCACCTCTGAAATTTGGGCATGCTGGGCTAGGGCTGTGATGAGCCTGCCCGTACGTGCTGCGCTCCCATGGGCAGGACAGTCGCTGCAACCCAGTGTGGTGTGCTGACCTCCAAGGCATTCCCTGGAGGGACAGCGGGGCCCATGTTTGTGCTTGTTCAACTGTTAGATTTGTTAGATGCTCAGCCTTTTCTTTTTCTTGTTTTTAATCTTGGCTTGTGGAGCATTGCACAATTAATGCTATTGCCCCATTAATGACCCCAGCAGGAACCTGGAGGGGATGTGCTTTCTGCAAAGAAAGATAATTTGTTCTCTTTGTTTCCTCCAAACAGTTACAAATTTCACATCTGATTTATGGGAACAGAGCGGGGTGATGCAAAGCTGCCCCATTACTGCCTCTACAATAACGAGGGGCTCTTGTCTGGCACAGAACCACAGCCTCAGGTTTAAATCAGCTGTTGAGATGTTTCCTTCTCCCCATGTCTCCGTGTAATTGATTCCAGGTCAGCAAAGCTATGTGATCTGCGCCAGGGTTGGAGGAGCGCCCTTGAGCACAGGCAGGAATTTGCCACTGGCTGGAGCAGCTGGCTGCTTACGCTCAGCCTGCTCGTGTGTGTTCCTCACAGAAAGGGCTCCCAGGCAGTTCTCAGGGCACGTCTGCATGGGAGGTTGTCCTGGATAGGAGGAGTGAATCCTATTCCAAACTGCTTCCATCTACTCCTAAAGCAGTCACAGCTTGTTCAGAATAATGCACCCCTAAAAGCACCCAGGCAAGAAGCGAGGAGTGAGCAATTCTGCTCTAAATTCACACCCTGCCGTAATCCAGATTAATTTGCCTGTGTAGCAAATGCTGGGCCTAGGCATGTTGAGGGTAGAATTGCGAAAAGCTCCGCAGGATGTTTTTTGGTGTTGTATCGTGGCTTTAATTTGAGGGGCCGAGCCACTCAAACTGGGTAAGGGGGAAGCTGTGGTGCTTTCTTGTGCCTCCCAGAGCAGCCTGGCAGCGGCCAACCCGCCTGGCTGGCAGGCAGCGAAGAGCACGGCTGCGATAACACAACTGATCAGTAACAGGGCAGTAAAGGCAATTGTTAATGGGAATTTTGTGTGGAGACATTTTGGAGAGGGCCGCCCCTGTGCCACGAGGCTTTGTCAGTGATGTTATCCCCAGTCCATGGCTGGTATGCAGTAATGTCCATCCCTCCCGACCACTCCGCAAACCCTTTCATGTGCTGCATCTGACCCAGCTGTTCACCCTCTCCTGTAGGATCCTAGTGAATATGGACAACAACATCATCCAGCACTACAGCAACCACATGGCCTTTCTCCTGGACATGGTGGAAGCGGAGGACAAGTTCCAGATCATCCTCAAGGAGCTATAAAGAGCCATAGGCAGCACTTACTGGGACTTCTCTCAAGCCCGGCAAGTTTGATGCAACAGAACTCAGCCTAGTGCCTCAACTTGTTGCCATTACTTGAATACACTGCCTCTGGGGAGGGCCTCAGCCTCATGGTTCCGGGCTGGAGACTGCTTGGAAGCTCTGTTATCGATGTGAACATGGAACTTCTCTCTGTTGAGTTTATTATTATTATTATTATTTTTTAATTTTATT